ATGTTTTCAGCATACATGAACAATTAATACAAGTATCAATGTAGTCAATCAGAACATGATTATAAGTCAATAAAATCCAAGGGATGTCAAAATCTATATATTCTTCCTTTGTCAACATTCACAAAAGGATTTGATTAACTTTATAATGTTACTTTTACTTTAATAACAGTTGTTCAAACTTAAGTCATTGGTAATAGAGAAGGTCTGTCTTGCTCATATGAATCTACTCCAAGAGGCATAGACTTTTTGCAGATCATCTAATCAAACTTTGTTATTACTTCTTATATTGCCAGATCAAAGGGATTGCAAAATGGGATAAGGTTAAGGACATTGCCATTGTTTTGTTGGTGCAAATGGTTAATGAAAATACCGAACACAATAAATGAAAGAGACCTCATACCCCGCATGACATGATAGCCGGAAAAAGTGACGACGCGTGAAACCAAATACCAAACATAATGTTAACTAAATAAAAATTTACGATTGGAGACGATGCAACAAACTGTGAACAACACAAAAAAAAAATAGAAATATTCAGAAAACAAGTAAAAGGTTGTGCCTCAAGTTCTTCTTTCATGGGATTAAGCCATTCTTTCTTCTTGAGAGCTTCTTCAATGCCCACTGGTTCAGAATCTACTAACATGGCACACTGAACGACTTCTCCTTCGGAGTCAACTTCATTATCCTGCAACATGTTAAAATCTGCAAGCCTTCTTGGTTTTTGTTTGATTCTCTGTGGTCTTTGAGCTTGTTCTGAAGTTGCATCAGAACTACTACTTTCAGAGTTATCACCTTCAGAGTTTTCCCTTCCAGAACTATGATCACCACCAGATTCTGGATCATCATCAACATCTGGATCAAAATCAGATCCATTGCCAGAATCTTCTTCTGACTCATCTTCAGAATCTGATTCATCTTCTGAACTTTCTAAAACATCTTCAGAGGATAACTCTGGTGTTGGCACTACACTAGAATCTGATTGAGATTTGTTCCAATCCAATGCTTCAGACTCTTTCACCACAACGTCTTTGCTGACTTCAACTTTATTAGTTTCTGGACAATAAAACTTATATGCACATGTACTGTGGTACCCCACCAACAACATTACTATGCTTCTATCATCCAATTTTTGTCTTCTAGCTTCTGGAACGTGTTTGTAACAGACAAAGCCAAACACCTTCCGATGACTGACACTATGCTTATCTCCAGTCCATTTCTATAAAGGAACAACTTCCTTTAGTTTCTTCGTTGGACACCTGTTCAGAATATATGCTGATGTGGCAACAGCTTCTCCCCATAGCACGTGAGGTAAGCTTTTTCTCTTTCAACATGCTTCTGGTCATATCAAGCAAAGTTCTGTTTCTTCTTTCAGCAAGACTGTTGTGTTAAGGAGTATATGGAGCAGTAACCTCATGTTCTATTCCACTCTCCTCACAGGACTTCTGAAACACTGTAGAGTTATACTCACCTCCACCATCCGTTCTCAGAATTTTTAACTTCTGACCACTCTGCTTTTCAGCCTTCACTTTAAATTTCTGGAACTCAGTAAACACTTCATGCTTGAACTTGATGAGTGTTACCCATGTCATTCTTGTGAACTCATCCACAAAAGACACAAAATAATTGTGTCCTCCAAGTGAAGGTACTGGAAATGGTCCACACACATCAGAATGTACTACTCCCAGAGCATGCTTCGCTCTGGGGGCTACTTCTGATGTAAATGGCAATCTAGGTTGCTTGCCTTTCATGCATCTGGATGTGAAGTCTGCATTTCTGAACGGTCCATTACAGAAAGAAGTTTATGTGTCACAACCTCCTGGATTTGTGAAAAATAATTAGGAAGGGATGGTATACAGGTTGAATAAAGCTCTGTATGGACTGAAGCAAGCGGAGTGTCAGTCATCTGAAGGTGTTTGGCTTTGTCTGTTACAAACACGTTCCAGAAGCTAGAAGACAAAAACTGGATGATAGAAGCAAAGTAATGTTGTTGGCGGGGTACCACAGTACATGTGCTTATAAGCTTTATTGTCCAGAAACTAATAAAGTTGAAGTCAGCAGAGACGTTGTGGTGAAAGAGTCTGAAGCATGGGATTGGAACAAATCTCAATCAGATTCTGGTGTGGTGCCAACACCAGAGTTATCCTCTGAAGATGTTTTAGAAAGTTCAGAAGATGAATCAGATTCTGAAGATGAGTCAGAAGAAGATTCAGGCAATGGATCTGATTCTGATCCAGACGTTGATGATGATCCAGAATCTGGTGGTGATCATAGTTCTGGAAGGGAAAACTCTGAAGGTGGTAACTCTGAAAGTAGTAGTTCTGGTGCAGTTTCAGATCAAGCTCAAAGACCACAGAGAATCAGACAAAAACCAAGAAGGTTTGCAGATTTTGACATGTTGCAGGATAATGAAGTTGACTCCGAAGGAGAAGTCGTTCAGTGTGCCATGTTAGTAGATTCTGAAACAGTGGGCATTGAAGAAGCTCTCAAGAAGAAAGAATGGCTTAATGCCATGAAAGAAGAACTTGAGACAATAGAAAAGAACAAATCTTGGAAATTGACTAAACTTCCAAATAAGAAAAAAGCCATCAGCGTCAGATGGGTTTTTAAGTTGAAACTTAAGCCAGATGGTTCAATTGGCAAGCACAAAGCTAGACTAGTAGCTAGGGGTTTTCTTCAGAAACCTGGGCTAGATTACTTTGAGGTGTTTGCGCCTGTAGCTAGGCATGAAACAATCAGACTAGTGATTGCTTTAGCTGCAAATAGAAATTGGCCTTTAATGCATCTGGATGTGAAGTCTGCATTTCTGAACGGTCCATTACAGAAAGAAGTTTATGTGTCACAACCTCCTAGATTTGTGAAAAAGAATCAGGAAGGGATGGTATACAGGTTGAATAAAGCTCTGTATGGACTGAAGCAAGCGCCTAGAGCTTGGAATCTGAAAATTGATTCGTTTTTCAAGAAGCAGAGGTTTTAGAAATGTGAGATGGAATATGGAGTTTATGTACAACACTCTGATAACAATATGATTCTGGTGTGTCTCTATGTTGATGACATTTTTCTAACAGGTAGCTGCCCAGAAGATATAAAGAAGTTCAAAGAAGTTCTGATGAATGAGTTCGAGATGACAGATCTAGGAAAAATGACATATTTCCTAGGGATGGAGATTATGTACTCAAAGAAGGGTATCATTCTGCATCGATTAAAGTACGAACTAGAACTTCTGAAGAGATTTAAGCTGCAAAATTGCAAAGTTATTATGACACCATCAGAAACCAATCAAAAATTGGATTCTGACTCTGATGGTGATTCTGTTGATTCTACAACCTTCAAATAGTTGGTTGGTTCTCTAAGGTATTTATGTAATACTAGACCCGACATTTGTTATGCAGTTGGATTGGTTAGCAGATTCATGAGTAATCCAAAGTGGTCTCATTTCCAAGTTGCTGTCAGAATTCTGAGATATATCAAGGGAACCCTGAGATATGGAGTGTTGTTTCCTTCTGAAAGAAAGACAAAATCAGAATTAGTAAGTTATTCTGATTCTGACTGGTGCGGAGACAGAGTGGACAGGAGAAGTACTTCTGGATACTTGTTTAAATTTCTGGGAGGTCCCATTTCCTGGAGTTCCAAGAAACAGCCTGTCGTGGCTCTGTCAACATGTGAAGCTGAGTATATCGCAGGTGTTGTAGCTGCTTGTCAAGCTGTTTGACTTCTGAATCTCCTGCATGATCTGGAGGTTGAAGTTGAGGAACCTCTGAAACTGATGATTGATAATAAATCTGCAATTGATCTTGCCAAGAATCCAGTGCTACATGGAAGAAGCAAACAGATTGAGACGAAGTATCATTTTCTCAGAAGTCAAGTGCAGAAAGGAGTGTTAGAAGTTCTGCACTGTAGCACTCAGAAACAGCTTGCAGATCTTCTGACAAAGGCAGTTAAAACAGATCAATTTCTTTGCTTGAGAAATGAAATTGGTGTTGTTAGCTTCTGATAGAATATCTAAATTAAGGGATGATATTGGAAATATAATTTAGTTAATGTCTACAATTCCCAATGCTTATTCTTTAATAGGGTCTTTTGGTATTTTTAATTTTAGTATAAATATACTACCTAGATTATCAATATTGTAACATATTCATTCCTCTATTTAATATACAATAGTAGTCCTGTTTATTATTATTTATTGCTCATTCTTCTTCTCCTCTTTCATTACCTTGCACCAACATTGCAGCCATATCCAAGCATGTGTTATGGAATGTGATGTTTATATATATAGGTCAAGGGCAGAAGTCACAATTTATTGCTGATCATTTAAACACATGTCTTCAGAAACCTCTAAAATATGAAACCACGTACTTTCTCACAAGCCACCTATTATTTTACAAGTAACGCTAGTGGCCTCTAACAAAAGGGCAAGTATCTTTAAAAAGAGTAAATGAAAAAATAACTAGAAAATTTTGATTAAGTGAAGATACACAAATTACCTATTTTCTCTCCTGGTTCATAATTTTTTTTAATATTCCACTGTTAACAATAAATCGGCCACATCATCTAGATTACTTCATACATCAATGGTAGTAAGAACTGCAGTAGGTATAACTCAATGATCTGGTAGAAAATCTTATCTCTTCGAACATGTAAGCCTATGAGATACCTGAATCTCCAGTCCCTCAAGTAGATAAGTTAGTCCTTGAACAGCACCAAGCAGAAGAATTGCAGTATTCAATTCCTGAACTGCAGTAGACAAGTGTCGTATGCTTTACAGTAAGTTTGAAACATATATCGGTGAAGTCACCCACAGATTGTACTAAAAAAATCAGTTACGTTCAGTGAAATAAATCATTTGTTATAAGCACATTCCCATGAAACAAGAACATAGCTGTTCAAATCTTCTCAATCCAATCACAACGCAGGTGTAAATATGTGATGTGTAGTCAAAGAAGATAATTACATCTCCCATAGCAAAAAGCTATACTGAATGAAATGGTCTGATTCCATTTTCACCAGTACCCTTTGCACGAGCAGGATCCATTTTTGAAATGATGGAAGCGACTGGAGTCTCTTAGTATGATCTCATGTTCTACGATCATGGATATGTAGGTTATGGCACTATGGCAATCACCGCAAATGCGTAAATTCTTAGTGATTCGAATAGGTGCTCCTCTGGGCAGTGTTAGGATGGCATAGGCAAGAGCCAACTTCTCACTGTGTTCAAAAAGTAGGTCCCCTTTTTCTTCATCATCCACATCATGAAGAGCAAAGCTTGTCTGTGGAACATACCCAATGGCCTTAATGCGCTGAATCAAATCTGCAAGTGTTTCATATATCTCCTGAGATTGCGAGTGAGTTCTGTCTCCAACATAGAAGGTTTCCATGCCTTTCCTTCCTTGGACCCAGCTGCAACCAGGTCTTTTCTTGATTCCAGTACGTTTCATCAAATATCTAACCCTAGCCACATCTTTCCAGCGTCTAGCATTGGCATATATGTTTGAAAGTAATGTATATGACCCATCATTATCGGCCTCCAATTCTAACAACTTTTTTGCCGCAAACTCCCCAATTTCTACATTTGAGTGTATCCTACAAGCACTAAGCAATGACACCCACACTACTGGTGTTGGTTCCATCGGCATATCATTAATGAGTCTCGTAGCTTCATCTAGACGACCAGCCCGACCCAAAAGATCAACCATACAAGCATAATGCTCTGCTCCGGGATCAACCCCATAATCCTTGCTCATTCTATAAAACAAATCAATTCCACGATCCGTCATTCCAGAATGACTACAAGTATAAAGTAAAACGAGAAAGGTTATGCCATCAGGCACTAGAGCCATTTCCCTCATCCCATCAAAAACACAGAGAGCATCTTCGCTGCGTCCATGCAATCCGTAGCCCGTAAGTAACGAGGTCCATGAGACGGCGTTTCTCTTTGGCATGTTGTCAAAAACAACTCGAGCAGTATCTACATCTCCAGACTTAGAATACATGGCTATGAGACAATTAGCTACAAACAGAACATCTGAATCAATACGACTTCTTCTCAACACATAAGCATGTATTTGCCTACCAAACCTCAAAGCCGCCAAACGAGCACAAGCCATGAGCACACAAGATATAGTAAAATCATTAGGAACTATACAGTTATCAAATTTAAACATTTCAGAGAAAAGCTGCAGGGCATGATTGGCATCATCATGCTGAGCATATCCTCCAATCATCACAGTCCAAGTCACCACATCCCTATCTTTAGGACATATTTCATCAAACATTGCACGAGCCACTTCTAAACTCTGGCACTTAGCATACATATCAATTAAAGCATTAATCACCATCAAATCATCATCATCATCATAATCACCTCCGTTGAGAATAAATTTAATTGCATAACAATGAGTTTCTCTTCCATGAAGCAGTGCTCCAACTGACGCACAACCAGAAAGCAACGACACGAGAGTAACCACATTAGGACGACAGCCACATCCACACATTTCCCTAAACACATCCATTGCTTCACAACCAAACCCTTTCTGAGCATACCCAGAAATAACAGAACTCCAAGTAACAACATCCAACTCAATTTTCTCTTCCCTCATTTTCTCAAACAAAGAAAGTGCATCCTCAAATCTACCCGCTTGAGAATACCCAGTAACCATAGCATTCCAACTAACAACATCCTTAAACCCCATCCTCTCAAAAACCTTATTAGCATCCACCAATTTCCCACATTTCGCATACATATCAACCAAAGCATTCCCAACAAAAACATCATCAACCAATCCAGTTCTAACACCAAAACCATGAACCTGTTTCCCAAGCAACCCCAAACCAAGAAAACCACAAACAGGAAGGATATTAACAACACCAACCGCATCCGGCAACAACCCATAACTCACCGTCATTTCACGAAAAAGCAAAACCGCGACTTTCGGAACAAAACAATGTGAATAAGCCGACACAATCGAATTCCACGACACCAAATCACAGATCCCTCTATCACACAATTCATCAAACACCTTACGCGCATAAATAAGCGCATTACATTTACCATACATCGAAACAACCGCATTACAAACAAATACATTAGAATCAAAGCCTGATCGAAGTACAGAACCGTGAATCGAACCGCCGAGATTGAAATGCGAAATTTCACCGCATGCTTTGAAAACAAACGGGAATGTGTAATGATCAGGTGTCCAATTAAGTGTTTTCATACGACAAAAAAGAGTCAAAGCAATGTGAGGGGAATTGTGGTGACGTGCATGTCGTATAAGTTGGTTCCACCAGAAAACTGATGAGTGAGATGGTGTGAGGCTTTCTAGAAGTAAAATGGCGTTTGTGGTGGAATTTGAGGAAATGTAATTGGATATGAGGTTGGTGATGTTTGTGTAGTTTAAGGTATGACCGTGTACGATGTATTGTTGATGAAGTAGTTTTGATTGGATTAAGGTTTTGCATAGTTGTGATGAAATTTTTGGTGTTGTAGTGATGGAATGGTATAAGAGGTGATGATGGGTATTGATAATAAGTGCCTTTGAGTTGAATGGAGAGAAGCGTAACAGCATGCTAATTCAAATGTTGGTGGAACCGCGAAGCATTCAATATAACTAAGAAGCGTTGTAATGGCTCATTGTTCTTAACCAAGACATGTCTATTATTAAAAGTTTCATGTGCAGATGGAACAACAAAATAGGTTTAATGCATGTTTGGTTATCAATTCCTTAAAAAGATTTTGTAAAGTTTAATGCATGTTTATTTAGTTTCAAGTGATTTTTGGGGGTTTGCTCGTTAGTATTGAGGTTTTCTAGTGTGGGGAGACTGGTCGAACAGTCAAGGTAATTTCTGGGTATGGGCCGGAACTAAGGCCTCGTTTAGGGCCAGAGCGCGGCGGCGTGAACTTTCCATCGCGAGTCGCGTGTTTGTTGTGGCGGTATAACGATAAGAAAAAAGTAAGTTATTAATTTACCGGGTGATATTTAAGTTATATCATATCGTGTCCATATATATTGGTGATTGAATCGTCGTTCGAAAAATCTATCGTTAATGAGTTTGGGGTTAAATGGGTTGAAAGGAAAAGTATCAACAAAAAATGAATGTATAAAAAGGAAAAAGGAAATAACTTATCAAGCATGCATATATACTACTTTTCACAGACTTAAACCTATCAACCTGTTATACTAAACCTATAATATTCATCAATGTCATCACGTGTCACTCATGACCTAAGTCATTTCTAACCTAAATTGAGAGACCGACTACATCACCTCGGTAGCAATCTCTCAACCACCTCAACAACACAAAAGTCAATTGTGCTCGTTTGCGTCGACGATCTCTCAGAGCGGCACAAACAACACAGAGGCATTAATCAGACACCCTAAGTGAATAACAGTGCTAAATCTATCTCTAGAATTCAGACACTATTAGATAATCATCCTAGATAAGAATCTAAGAAGTATATGTTTATAACAACTCAAATCCCTAGCACAGAGCAAAAATCAAGGATAACAATCGACAAAGATTTATAAACAAGTTTTATATAACGCCAAGAGCGACAAATATACATGAGTCCAAAGAAAATATACATACAAACCCAACCAATAGAGAATACACAAAGAAAAAGAGAAATGAACCGCAAACCTACCGGTTTGTCAGCGTCGATCAAAGAGCAATCCACCCTGGATCATCCAAATATAAGCTCCATAGTTATTATCTAAGCTACTCCTAACAAAATTAAAGATTTATGGATTTGGGAGCAAAAACATCCCTAAAACCATCGCTATAAATGAACTGAAATGAAAGTTATAAAACAAATCTCAGCAGACCGCGATAAGCGCGACTTCCTTATTTTACACACTAAACCGCTCTAAACCGCTCTAAGCGCGCTATCCGCGCTAAGCGGACTTCAAAATATTGGTTCTGCCAAATTGTCCAAATGCAAGCAGTGTGCTACAAAAGGAACTGAGCGCACTCGCCTTAGCGGCCTTTGCGCGCTAAGCGGGCTCTCCTGGACAGAATGTCCTAAAACTGGTCTTTTATTCCAAAAACGCGCATCCGGAGCTGTGCCTTCGATACCTTATTCCTCGATGCTCCAAAATGCAACAAATACCTACAAAATGAATGGAAAAACATCAAATGTTACACTATGTACACAAAAACATAAATAAACACAAACTAAACGTATTTACACAAAAGTCAATTTATTCAACGATATTAACAACAAAGAGTCGATAAGTGCAATAAAAAATATATACAAAAATAGCTACAATTTGCACTTATCAAACTCTCCCCAACTTAAACTTGTTTGTCCTCAAACAAAGCCAAACAACTCAAAGAACCAAAAGTAATCAATCAAAATATCATGAATCAACAAGTTTTGAAAATGAAAAATAAATGCAATGGTTCAAATGAAAAACGGTACACACAAAGTAAACACTTACCACTAAACTAAGACTATAACATAAACACGAAACGAATGCTAAATACAAAGAACATGTCAAAGATTCTAAAATAACACTAGTTCACAAATGAATCACACCTACAAAAAACAGTCATCGGTAGATGAAAAACACACAAAATAAGGTACTTTCACTCATCCACAATTTTGCAAACAAAAGACTAAATTATGCATTCATCCAAAAATTTACATTGAAAATATAAGAGCAAGAATCTCAAGGGTTTTCAAGGTTGTAATGTGGCTTGGTTAACAAACAAGTGATAAGTCTTAAAGCTAATTGAAACAAAAACTTACCTAAACCTAAGGGAGTGATCAACTCACAAAGACTCAAGCAAAATAATTTCAATCAAACTTCTTCATTTCAAATTTAAAACCAACACACATCACTTATCAACACAACATTATTCCAAACTCTTTTTGTTTTTCTTTTTCAAAGCTTTTTTCAATTTTTTCTTTCTTTTTATTTTCACTTTTTTTTCTCAACCTCATAGTAATACACACAAGCACGTAAACATGTCTCTCCCCAACTTGAATTCAACCATATCATAATGTGAATACTCTCTACTTTCTAAGGCAAGGTAAAAATTCAACTAAAAATCATAGTTGAGGGTTCAAGAAAACAAAGAATCAATATCCATACAAAAATATGAACCAAACACTCATAAACAAGCATTTACCAAAAACAACATGGATATCGACAAAAAGGGTTAAAAGGGGTTACTAATGATCATATACTCACAAGGTGAATTGACTATTTGGCCAAGGGGTAGTTGTGCTCAAAATGAAACAAAAAAATTACTTGATCATGTTCATGCTTTCATACAATCAATACAAACTAAAGATTAAGCATAATAAAATCCAGTTAAAACAAGAGTCGTGGTCTCCAACATATGTGAACAATGGAAAGCTACCTCACAAAAAGGGTAAGAACTAAAGTGATTCACAAATGAACAAGTATACAAAAGAATGAATGGCATAAAAATTGTAAAAAGTCTAAGTATCATGAATATGTTAAAGTATAGAAAGCGATAAATACATACCTCAAATGTGTAAAAAACTTTAACATAATTATTACCATGCATTCGCAAGTTGAAACACTCAAACTTGGAAAATCACCAAAAGCGACCTCAAGCTATCGAACAAAAATTGAGTCCAAACAACAACAAAAAAATTAATTATACTAATATTATTTACTACTTAAAGCCTAGGTGGAAGTGGGAAAAAAAGGAAAGCAAGTGAAAATAAAAGAATTCACTGGCTCTACACAGTAGGGCGCGCTAAGCAGCACAGAGCACGTTAAGCGCGCTACACCAGTTGTAGAAAAACAAGACATCAACTGGTGCAACTGCTATGCAAGCTCCACTTACACCTACACAACCTCAATGTACAGAATATTTACAACATACAAACTTCCTCAAGGTAAACACGACAAGCTTGCGAAAAACACAATTTGACATAACAAAACAAATACAAATAACAATATGAAAACTGGGTGAAAATGAACTAACAAGTTGAAAAGTGAAGATTTAAAATTCAAAACATTTCCTTGTTTCAACTTGTTAAAACACAAATCACCAGACACATAAATAAATACATAAAAACATGTTTGTTTTATGTCGTAAGCTCGACGCCTTTATTGTGCGAGCTAGTAACCTCCTCTCGTCATGCCATGATATTGTCACACCGTACAAACCTAAAGAAAGTGTCTTAACAATCACATAACAAATGTTACGAAAATGAGACAATTCACAACAATACGTGAAAACATATATGTGATCGGTGGATCTGGAACTGACTGTTTAACGCTGGTTCGCGAAATGTCGCGGAAGCAAGAGTCGCCACCGTCTTTTATTTTCTCCAAATGGAAAGGACAAAAGCACAGAAAAATTCCTTATAGAGATTGCTCTCGGTTCGGGAGGTAGGTTATAGAAAGGGAAGGTGTTAGCACCCTTTCTATCCATGGTTATCCATGGGCTCTTAGATACTTGCTCATTTGTGTTTTCAAAAATGGGTTGTTTGCTTTTCAACTGTGGGTTTAAAAAAGGTTTCTTTGAAAATTCCAGTTCGACTCTTGTACCAGTCCTCAAGAGTGTTTGAAAAAATTTGCTTTCGAAAGCTTTTTGAAAAGGTGTTGGTGTGAAAAGTATTTTTGAATTTGTTTTGAAATTAGAGCAAGTATCTAGAGTCGTCTACCTACCCTAAGGAATTCGTCTGTGTAAATGTCCTTTAAAGTAGTGTCATCCCACCATTGAGAGGTAGGTAGCACCACCGTTGGAGGTGTTCGGGTCAATTCGAAGGTCCGGGACATGGTGATCACCAGAGCAATAGGAAGATACCTTAGAAGCTACCCTCATGCCAGGTTCCCGGATCATGAGGACTTACTAAGACATCCTCTACTCGACGATCACCTTTCGAGGCAAGGCAACAGTGAGGCGTACCCTAGAGGTGGTGTGTGATTTGTGTGTCGTTTTCAGATATTTTTGTCTTTTGTCATGTCATTGGTAATCTACGCTTGTTTTTATTTTTGGGCATTCATTCTTTCATGTTATTGTTTAACAGTTAAAGGTGCGGGAATTTAAAGTGCGGAAAAGATAAAGGGTCCTACGCTATTACAAAGGCGCGGGTCTACAACGCCAAATTAATCCAGACCCGATTTGAAATAAAGTACAGAAAATAAATGTCTAAATAACTATTACAGAGCTTTGGAGCAAGTACATGATATTCACAAAAAGAAATAAATAAAACGCGCGAAAAGAGAATATAATCGAATGCGAGGGCGTTGAACCCTTTGAAGGAATTAAAATAAAATTATTAAAATAATTAAGTTAAATAAAAAAAAAGAACTTATTTTTTATGTTTTTGTATTTATGACATTAAAGAAAATTAAATTAATTAAAAGTCAAATAATTAATTCTAATTCTAATTGTTTTTAATTTATTAAAGAAAATGCATTAAAGTTAAAACCTAGAATTAAAACTAAATTAATTATAAAATTTATTTACGAAATTAATGGTTAATGATACTTATGATAAAAATATTTAATTAATTAAAAAAAGGGGTAAAAAGCACTAAAGGTCTATTTTTTTGTTATTTTTGGTTTTTGAGAAAAAA